GGAACCACGGCAGGCTATCTATAGCTCATGTCCGCATTGCCACTAGTGCGTTTCTCGCGCTGGCGTCCCGTCTACGCAAATTTCTAGACGTTTTTCGTTTTGCCACGCAATATCGACGAGTTTTAGCATGTTTGCCACCTGGGACGGTTTCAAAACCCGATAAAGATAAAGAGAAGCCCATGTCTTGTTTATCAGGTGGTAAAGGCCAAGACACAATAGACCATTCCAATAACAGCCTCCTGCGCTTTGGCATCCTTGTTTAATGGGCTGTGGAGCACATTCTCATTCTGCGCAGTGGAACTCTTCTGTGGAATATCAGGTGGCAGGAATTTCATTGTAAACCAGTGACTCAGCAATTTTCGCTAGTGTGATAAGCAATGGAAAATTGTGCGCGTTGGGGGACGGAGAGGTTTATTTTTGTATACTCTTCTCTTCCGCCCGGTTCTAGTCGTTTGGTGATTTCCGTCGAACTTATTCAACGGATATGCCTCTGAGCACATCACTGTCCTTGTGCCTGACCGCAGGTTCTAGGGGACGCCGATGCGGCCAAGTACGTCCAGGGTGTTGCAGTGCACTGGTACGCGGACGAAGGCGTGGGGCCTTGGGTGCTGGACAAGACCCATGACAACTTTCCCGACAAGTTCATCCTGGCCACGGAGGCGTGCAGTGGCTTCGAGCCCTGGGAAAAGGAGCATGTCATCCTCGGCAGTTGGGACCGGGCTGAAAACTACGCGCATGACATCCTGGAGGTGAATCGGGTTTGGGGCGAGGAAGACAAGCTGCTCCCGGTCAAGGGGGTTCCAGAAAAACGGGACCCGGACAAATTGTTCCAGAAGAAATTAGGCCTGCACAGAATGAGCCGGACACGGCGCACTGAACCTAACTACAAGTCCGGACAAAATGGTCCGCATTCCAAGCCCCGTCAAGACGATCCCAAGTGAACTTTAGACCTTAAATAATCTTGAATGTTTTCAGCGAACTGATAATTTGACAATTAATTCCAGACATGTTTAATGTATATCCCTTTCAATAGAAGTATTTTTTATATAAAATTAGAAAAAAATACGCGCCAATTTCAATTTCAGAAACTGTTTCAAGTCTATTATCGTTTTAAGGTAGCTCTACGGCGGCATGAAGAAATCTAGCAATAATGTTTCAAACCTCGCCATTAGAATATACAATATTCATCTTTAGCAAATTTTGTGCATTTAGTTAATGTTTAAATGAATAAAGCTATAATGAAATGCACAAACTGATAGTTGGCTGACGGATGATGATCTAAGCAACGTTTTGGCATCAACTAATGAATTGGCCAAAATATTTAATTTCCTCCTCTACCTCTACTCTCTATTTTACCTGCGATAACAGAATCCGAAAGCTATTAAAACAAATACATACGCGCGAAATTTATTTAGACTTCCGATGAAAAAAAGCAACATGAATTCTAAAGGTTTTGGACTGCTTATGCAAACTATTATGGTTAGGCTACTTATGCTACAAGTTTATATACGTATATGTTCAAACTGTGTCAAGTACAAGCCATCTAGAAACCCGCGAAGATCAAACAAACAATACGGAAAAATTTTGTTGGGACCATATTGTTTGGGTTTGGATTTGGTGCTTGGGACTGTTTTTTCTGGACCATTTTGACAGTGAATCATTTCGAGCGGGATCAATTTGACCGAGACAATTTCGACTTCTACCATGTCGACTTTTCACTGCACCGCCCAAACAGCATTAATCTGACAATATCGGCTGGCTGATTCCTTGAACGACCCGGCGTTGCAATGTTACTTGAGAGATGATCAAAATTGACTGATAAGAGGCAGTTTCGAAAAAGCTCAGAATGACTGTTTGTAACCCGTGATTGAACGGCTGTTCAATTTTTGCTTTAGGATCTTCTACACTGGACCACGGGTTGGGTTGACTGGAACCTGGCCTTGGATGTTGTAGGAGGTCCCAACTGGGTGAAGAACTTCGTCGACTCGCCCATTATTGTGAACGCCACAGGGCAGGAATTCTACAGGCAGCCCACGTACTACGCGTTGGCGCATTTCTCGTAAGTGACAATTGTAACAGGGAATCCCAGACTCTAAAACTCGCCGTTATACTCTAAACAATCCATTGCGTTTACTTTGCCGCAAATCACTTGGAAGATCCAATGGCTACAACCTACGGAGGGAACTCGGCGAATGATGTGAGCAATTGAAACATCATGCCCAGTGTCACAAAGCAGAATGTTTTTTTTTCTTCGTATCTTTTGCCTCATCCTTCGCCGAGCGCCCTCCGAAGATTGCACCTATTGGCTCTTCTACGTGCTTTGAGGGAAAGTAAACGCACCAGATTTCTCAAGTTATACCAAAGACACGATGGTGTGCGCTGCAGTCATGATGGCATAATTATCTGCAACCTCAAGCACGCTCGAAAAATGCTTACTTCATACATATGTATGCTTATAACATGCCCGCAGAGAGTTTTTGTATAACCAATGTGACAGTCACATTGCTCACAGAGAGTGTCTGCAGGCTGTTTTTTTACTAATGTATTAGTAGTGCTACTGCGGCTTTACTGTGTACTTTACCACGTGGGTTTCTGTAAAGCCATTCATTCTTACCTATTGTAGAAAACACCGGAGTCTATTTTGAACAGTTTCTTTATGTTATCGTGTGAACAGGAAGTTTCTTCCACGAGGAAGCGTCAGGATAGATTCGAGGCTGGCCGGTGAACATCGTGGGAAACTTGAGTTCGGGGCCTTCAAGACGCCCGAAAACGCCACCGTCTTCATCGTGCTGAATACGTGAGTACGCATATGTGCACCGTGTGTAAATGGAAATGAGGTGACTGCTTTCAGACACGCTGACACTGTGGTACGTTTCTCGTCGCCGCCTGTAACTTTGGAAGCGGCAGTGCATTTGAAGCGTTTGTATTAGTTTTGTCGATGTCGGAAGGACTCCATTGAGTTACCAATGTTATAGCTGTCTAATGGCTAGTCCTTTGCCGTCTGAACAGGCTATGCAGAGTGCAAGTTCGTCTGCTTCTTTTGCAGGTGTTGTGGTGATGACAAAACGCCGAGCTCTCATTGGTTCTGAATGAAAGATAGTGGACAGACCTCAAAGTAAGCTGCCTTGAGGTCTACCCACTATCCTTCAATCAGAGCCAATCAAAGCTCGGCGTTTTGACGTTACCACAGCCCCTGCAAAAAGAAGCACCGAGAGGTTATTATCAAATGCAGGGCGCGGCGTATTATGATGATTCATCTTGCTTCGTGATTGGTTCTTCGGGTTCCTCACTGGCTAATGCCGCGATCTTATTGGCTCAGTAGCGATAATGAGATGCATTACTCGCCACGCCCTGCATTTTTTTAAGCTGACACTGGCTATACGCTCTCACAAGCTCCTGTATGCAGGGTGCCATACAATTACCTTGGAACACGATGCTGATTGAGCGTTACTTCCTCCATGTGTGTGATGATATTGCTCACTTCATGCTTTTTTTGTGTCTTTTGCCGCTTGGTGACAATTTTTTTTCACTGGACCCGGGAGTGGCATGCATGGTTATGGGTCCAGACTGTAATGGTGCACTGACAAGGAATGTAATGGAATTAAATAAAATAGACAAGTGAACATGACTGAAGTAATGTAAATAATGATTTGAATATTCTTTTGTTTGAATCGGTTCAACCAATAAGAAACAAGCCATAGTTGTCATGCTCCAATGCGCATTAAGTCTCGTCGGCAAAAAAGAGTGCGCACCTCTTTTGCCACTGAGGCTGCACGCCCACTGGAGCGAGACGCCGGTTTACATTCTGACCAGCACAACTTCTCGAACCTCAAGTAAAAAAATATTCAAAATAATTGAACCCGAACTTTTAGAAACCATGAAAGCGTCGAACTTTTCGATTTCGAAACTCCACGGTGTTGGTAAGTTGCGAACTTTTTTAATTTGAACCTCGGGACGGTTTGAAAATATCTAAATCTTTCGATTTCGAACCTCAGTTCGGTTCGAAAATACCGAAACATTTCGAATTCGAACCTAGGGTGGTTCGCGACATCCCTAGTAAAGTCACTGGATTCTGGGCAAGCAGCGCCATTGCCTTCCCTACCTGCTAGCCGGACACAAACAGTTACTAACATAAAGACGACCGAAACCTTGCAAGGCGATTGGCTAATCTGCCTACGTTGCCATAGAAATCGCCATGCTGGTCCATTCAAATCTTCGAAACTTCCAGAGGGTCGTTATAGACCAGTCGCGACAAGATCACCTTGGAGCATTATCGTGCTGGAAGCGTTCCTCGCCATTAAAAGCGTCTTTAGCAATGCGTATGCAATCAACCTATCAATCATGCCCATCTACACGGATCTCTTACAATTATATCGTTTTTCTTGCGTATTTCAAAACAGTAAAATTATTCGTCAGTGTCTCCTAGCACCAACAAAGCATATGGTGGTGGTGTATGGGTAGCAAACTCTCGGTGCACAAGAAACGTCTCCATAAAGCTACTCGTCACCAGCGAATTTAGATCGGCGCACCAAGAACGGAAGATAAATTGTTCATTACACGGACCAAAATGGCGATCAGACAGGGGGCTTGGCGCTGGTTTCCCGAGGTCCACTAACTTTAATGTACCGTAACCTTTGTTTTTTCTATGAATGCACTTATCTTTGTTTTGTTTCTGTCGTTTTGACGCCGTGGTTTTTATTACGAGACCAACACTAACTAGCACCGTTTTCTACACCTACGTGTGTACACTATAAAACGCGAAGATAGCGTGCTGAAGGCCGTCCTTTTGAAAGAAACTACATGGCGTTCTCGCACGGACAGTAACTGTAACGAGTCTTTTCAAGCAAAAAGCTATTTCTCCGCTTGACGTTATGTTATGCCGCGTGTAGCTGGAGGGCAGCAGGTTAAACCTCCAACGCGTAAAAGACTGCGTCGTTAGAGTTTCATGCCTTTGCTTCCAGGTTAATTATGGGTGTCGTTCTGCCTCTCTATTGTTACAGGGACACGCAAGCACACAACATTAGCGTGCGGGATGTTTCGAAGAAAGACGCCATATTTACATCTTCTATCACGGAGCGCTCCATCCGCTCCTTCATCTGGTGGTAGCCATCACGAACAAGCAGCCTCCTCGACCTTCTCGACCATTACGACCACTGATAAAAAAAAAAACAAAAAAAAACACTTTTTTTTTTTTTTTTTGCTGTTAATAATATTATCGCGCCATAATGGTGGCCATTCTCAAGCCAGAATCACAATGCTCATACGAGTGTCACTCGGACATCGTATAATATCAGCAGACAAGATAACATAATTATCGACGGATGTAGCTCACCACATTGGAGGCGTGCTTGTTTCATAAGAATGTATGGTTCGAACATGTCTAAACATATTTGTTTATGACCCGTGTGTCAGGACTGTTATACAAGGGGGAAACACGCCTTAGACATTGTCTGAAGACTGTATTTTGTTCGTTTTATTAGCATCACAGACGCTTTGCACACGGACCATATTACAGCCGCCATTACTGGCCTTCTCTCGTCTTACCAAGATGCCGAGCCACTGAAGCGGGCTTTCACGAACCCCATCCTTGTCGCCAATGTAATGACTGACGCCGACTCCCAGTAAATCAGTCATATTTACACTCGTATGACAGATGACCCCCAGCGTCATACACTGGTTCCGTTCTAAACCAGGCCTCTTCTTCATCGCCCTCGCGGCTTGACTACCAGCAGGGTGCAAGACGGATTGATGATCATCACACTCCACAAAGGTCAATGCTGGGGAGAAAGACGCACGTTTTCATCTGAAATGGCAATAAACTTTCCTGCCGTGGTAAGGATGGAGCGAAGTGATCAAAATAAGAAAAAACAAAAACTGAAGGTCGGTTGTGGCGGCGCCCATTCACAGATGCTGCAGAGCGCCTACGGTCCGCACCTCCTGTATACATCACGCCATTGTTAAACAAGTCCTCGGGCCAGCGTGCGATCTCCTCAGCCCAGCATGCGCATGTTCGTCGCTTCGAAAAGCGAGGAAGTCACGCGCCATACGCACGAGTACTGAAAATGTGGCCGGCTGAGAGCCTTTTTTTTTTTTTTTTTAAAGGGTCTATAAACCACAGGGACAAGTTTCGATTGAAAAAAAAAGCAACAACAAAGTTTCTCCTTTGATAGTCTTAACATGGCGCCTAGCCTGCACGTAAAATTTCGTATACACCGAGCACCTTAACAAATACCGGCTTCATTCCCTCACAACGGAGCTTCCATATATCATAAATCAACATCTCTTTCTCTCTATCATAAACAAAATCTGCACGTTTCGCTATTACGAGCGATCTATATTCTCTAAAGGGTGATTCAGACATTTCCAACGGTTGCGTTCGCGTACAACGGAAGCGACCGCAAGGACCAAAGCACCGCAGTAACCGTGACTCATAGATTGCTTCGTGAAACTACCCTATGCATCGCTTGTCGTGATGCAAAACTATCGGTAAATTGACTATCGATACTATCAATAGTGTTTCCAAAACTATCGATAGTGTCTCAGAACTATCGATACTCGACTATCGATAGTATTATCGGTAGTTGTGCACTTTTAATCGCTTGCCACACTGTGTACGGCGAACACTTGCCCCGGTAACTTTGTCGTTACGGTCGTTCCGGTTCCATGCGAATGCGACCAACGCAAATGTGTGAACCAGCCTTACGAGACAAAACGTAACATTTCAAATTTATAGTCGGGAAAATACGGTATTTCTTGTTGCCGAAAACAAAGGAATTCGGTGGTGTAGAATGCATGCTGCATGAGGTATACGCGCTCAGCTGCAAGACTGCCACCGCGACCACTGGCGCGATGTATTCGGTGCAAGTTAAGTAAATTACCTCACTTCCTCTCACGCAGAAAAACAAAACAAAGGAATTTCATATCGCTTGTGTAATTAGACAGACTCCGCGTGATTGTGCGAAAATTGTCTCAAAGCTGGCCACTTAAATCCTTACCAATCCCCCCTCCCAAAAACCTCCGTTCCTCCTTTACCAAACAAAAAGAAACTTAGTAAACGAATTCAGCTCCGCATAATTCGTTTACTGCATTCAATAAGCTTGGCGCGGAGCTCTCCACAACTGAAAGGAACCCAGCTAGAACACAAGGCCTGCGCCTCCCAAACGTCATCAGTGGATGGATAGATGGGCGCGGCTGAACCCTTTGAATCGGGCGGTGACTCGCGCCACCTAGCCAGTGCTGTGGGGAACCACTAGTGGATCCACGCAGCGCCACCTAGCTGGCATCGCCGCCAGCGCGTCATGCAGCGTTTCACAACGAGCCCGTCGTTAGCACGCGTCAACGTCAAGGCGAATACGTCTGCTGCTTTGTGCCGGCTGTCGTTGAACTTCAGCGTGTTTGCAGCTTGGGGAGGGTCGGGGATCCTCTAATGATGACGTCATGCACAGGCCTTGTCCTTTAAGTGATATTAATGGGACACATGCCAACTGAAACTCCGGCTCGGTCACTGCATGCATTCGACGCAACATTACGCGCACTGAAGCCGCCGCTGTCCCATTTTTTCCGGATAACAACCTCGGGGCCTGCGTTCCCGCTCAGATCAGCGCGCAATCGAATCAAGACTGTTGCGGTGCCGAGGACATCTGGCAAAGATCGTTCAGATTGCACAGGCCAAGTCGATATTACAAGTCCCTTTCTGAAGACGTGGGGTTGCCCACACCGCGTTCTCGCAAAATCAACGTATGCTGAGTAGATTCGTGCCCCCTTTTTGCTATAAACGATTTAAGTTTTGCTTCTTAGGAAACTAAAATTTAAACATTTTCTTTTTCAAAGTTAAGCTCCTAAGCATCGTTCAGCCACTGCGGTTGCAGGATTAGCCAATGAGCCAAGCCCTACTTTTATAGAAGTGTCACTGAGTATAGTTCTGCTACGTTATGGTAAATAAAAAAAAGAAAAGAATAATTTACAACTTGCAAATGTGCACTGGTCGCGTAGCACGACATCACGGGACTGACAAATGCTTAGGTGCGTCATTTGTAAGTCACCCGGCAAGCTGGCTTACCCTAATTGCGAGAATAGTTGATTGTTCACGATCACTAAGAGGTCAACCTGTTAAAAAAACTGATTTCCTACTTCACAAAACCCCAATTGAAGATCCTCATTTGTTTCTGTGAACTCAGTGGTACTATGTTTCAGTCGTGCTCAAGGAGTAAAACAATTACCTTAATAATTTCATCGCCATTATCAAGAGGTATTGTGACGGCGCGCCAAGAAGGAAGTGTATCGGACGCAGACTGATGCATAACTTACTTCTCGGGACACATAAATCGAGGATAAGCGCCGCTACTCCGTTTTCAGCATAACTTGGACCGTACTAGAAGGTACACGTCACCAAAAGCCCTTGAGACAGATGCACTTATACTAACGCTATCTGCTCGCTCCTGTAGCCTTCGTTGCGGTCCAGGTTCAGACTGTACACAGTGTGCGGCATCGGGGACCGAAGCCAAAGTAAAGTCGTGGAAGAGCAGGAAGAAGCTATGTGTGCATTCGCCGTATAATATATTATACACAGATCACGCGACCGTCGCGAAAGAGCGCTTCTCGTCAAAGGCGAAACCTTTCCTCTTCTTAAATGTTTTCCGTCTGCCTCGCTGACAATGACCGGAGGTAAATTTTACCACGCGTTGTCTGCCCGTCTTCGAAAGAAGTTCGTGGAGGGAAAAACAGGATTTTACTTATTTAAATTCACTCTTTTCATTTTCTTCGTCGTCATGGTTCTAGATCTTCGAGAATTAAAAACATAGGGCGCTAGATGAACTCAGGAGTGACCATGGCTCTCAAGCCAGAAGCGCTCATACCAGCGCCACAGTTACTGACAGTTTAAGAAATTGAGGGCGTGGCGACTTCGGAGGATGATATTACCGCTCCGCAGAGGGCGCCACCGAAACAGCTCGTCGATGATAGGGGTGCTTCCTCGGAAATACTTCAAGCGCAGCAAGAAGGGTACGATTACTGCCAGACATGTACAAGTTACTAAAAAAATGTAATTAAAGTTAAGTTACTGAGTATTGGCCTCAAAATTAATTTGAGTAGAGTAGAAATTACTCAAATAAAAAGTAATTTAGTAGATTACTAAATACCCTAAAAAAAGTAGCGAATTACTTTTGAAGTTTCTTTTATATTTTTTTTAAGGTAATAAGAAAGTACATAGGTTTTGATCTGTTCGCGAAATGTTGCTAGCCAAATATAAAGCAGCTTGTGTTTTCACAGATATGCTTTAATAGCTGGTTCCGCTTCTGCGCGCCTAATTGTTTTGTATTTTTTGTTTGTTTTTTGGTCGACGCTGCGCTGCGGAAGTATCATTTCTACATTGAGATTTAGCACTGCCTGAGCTTGATTTTGCAGATAGTGTTTGGTTGTTTACTAGGTTGCGTAAAGTACATCTAACAAATACATGAAGTAAATTACAAAGTAAATGAGAAATTATCTACTTAAAATAAACCTACACAGTTTTTTTTTTTTTTTTAGCATCTGGTACGCATTTTTTAAGGGGTAATAATCGGAGGTGCATCAGTTTTTTTCGGAAATGGCGGCAAATATTTAATGAAGTCAAGTCGCCACAGTTTTACTCTCGCTGACCAACTATTTAACAGAACCAACTTATAAGGCACTTATTTCTATCGGTCTTACAGCCCCATTACTTCACTCAGCGAAATGACCAGATAACGTCTCGAAAAAACGATAGCGCGTTTTCACATGACGATACGCCATTTTTTTTTTTCCTTCAAGTTTGGGGAATGTATTTTTAAGTCGGGGGGTTGAACTGGTCTTCGGAAAGTACCACAAGAAATACTTTGGTAAAGTTTGAGTATTCTCAAAGAACGTACTTCAATAAAAAAAAAGTTTTCTAAACCTACTTGTAGTAGTACATTAAATATTATCATACTTATAGTACTTTTCAACGCTATACTTGTTTATTCATTATTTTTTGTAAAACGGTGGGGGAATTACTAAACTTTCTTAAACGATCTTCAAATCTTGGAAAACCGGCATATTCTGAGTTTTCGGAGGAAAGGCAACGCAAAGAGGTCACCTTTGCGTTGCCCTTTAGCACGCGATTCTTCGAGTACGGCACAAACTACGGGAGCACCAGGTGAGCTCCAGAGCGGGTACTCTATTTTATTCCCTCCACTGAGTGAGGATGTATGTGTAGACTTCCTCTAGTGGGCGAGAGTTCCTACGTTGAGGGGGAGCAGGGACAAGTCCTTTCTTCAAATGCGTCAAGTCCCCTTCAGCTTCTGGACATAAACGCCAGTCTTCGGCGTTAATCTCGCAGTTACTCGGCCTCACTTGCGACATCTCTGTCCACCCCCGGGCCTCGTAGCAGGGTTGTTACAGTGGGGGTCTCGTAAAAATGTTAGAGGGTCTCGTGAAAATTTTAGAGGGTTTCGGACCCTCCAAACCACCCCCCCCCCCCTGCCTATGCCACATGCTTCCCCCTCTTTGCAAATATCAGCTGATCTTCCAACACCTCATCTATTTTTGTGCACGAATGCCTGTTGATTAGCAAATCTACCACTAAAATGGGACAGTGATTTGTAACTTGAGTAGAAGTTAGTCGGAAAGTAATTAAAGTAAACTACTAATTACCGAAATAAAACTGTTATTGAAAGATACTAAACTACTCAGAAAAGTAGTGAAACTACAGTGGCTTAAGTAGAGTAGTTGAACTACGTACAAGTCTGGTTACAGCGATCCCATCTAGCTGAGGCAGCAGGGATTAATTACGCCCCTGCGAAGGCCCTACAAACGCGTGCCTCTTCCCTCAATCCATGCACTAACACGCGAATCTGACGTCCCACAGCTGCGGTGGAGTTGCTGTCGACGAGGCGCATGCGCAGATGTATCACTTAAAAAAAAACACTGAAATAAAACAAAAAATCTTTTTAAGGCATAGATGGGGCGCGTAATTTTTTTAATAATTTATTCCGCGA